TAACGCGTTGGATAAGCACTGGGCACAGGAGCTCTGCTCCTATCAGTCCTACCACAGGCAGGCAGCTCGTGGTAAATAAACACAGTGTGACAGGAGGAATAAAATATTTACTTTGGCTCATTAAGGTTTGCACTGAGGTGGAAGAATTAATCCCACAACAAATTACGCCTCTGCTATTGCTTCTGAGGTTCAGGATTTTTTTTAGCATCGGACACCCAACTCTATCTGCTCTTCTCAAATCCAACAGAAATCAGTGGCTGGAGCCAAGAGCCTTTGGGGGTTTGGAAAGACATGTCAGGAGTGGTGAGTCACGGCTTGAAGGCTTCCAGCAAACTGGGGTGAGCTGGGGCTGCCCTGGGCAGGGTAAGGACACAGGGGGGTCCAGAGAGGGACCTGGACATTTGGGAGACTGTTGCACTGGGGGTGCAGGTCGTGACCCCACGTCTTTTAAGGAGCCACCTTTTTTGATTTACTTGACTTGTGGTGGCAGTTAGAGGTAGTTAGAGGTAACACTAGCTTTGTCCATACTGAGCTACAGGTGAGCCTCAGTCCTGCTCCCTGTGATTGCCCAGGGTAAGGTCTTCCCTGAACTGTGGCCAGCTACAGGGACAATGGGTAAACCTAAGGTCTGGATCCAGAGTTGCAGGTGTCAGAAAGACAGGATGGAGCAGATTTTACTCCAGCAGCTATTCTTTGGCCTCTGTTTGCACAGAGGTTTGCATGGAGGCCTCCAGCCACTCTGCAGAAGGCGCTGAGATAGTGCACTGATAGACGGAGGCTATAGACTATCTGCTCCCTGGAAGTGTCGGTCAGACCCGCGCGCTCTGTGCAGAGTTCACAAGCCTGCTCCTCCCGGGAGGCAGATCACGTTAGTGTTTTTGCTTTGCCCACATTACCCGATCCAGCCCTCTCTCTTATTGCACATGCAGGGAGAGAGATTGCCGAGACAGTTCCTCTCCGGAGGCTGTTAAGAGACATTTAGCTTCAGTTAAGACTCCTCATAAAACGAGTCAGTTTTTGGGCAAGACAAGGCAGCGCTTGGAAGCCCTCCAAGCCGGTGGAAGGAAACACGATGCTGAGGCAGGGTAAGAACTGCTTGTCCCAGGAGATGCGTGCAGGAGGAGCGCTGATGGGGAGAGCTGGGTGGCACGGAGGGAAAGGGGCTCTCAGGTGGAGCGGGGATTAGCTAAGGAGCATGTTAGGGAATACAACTGAGGTTGTCACTTGGAACCTGCTAGCAGCTGTGGGCAACACTCTCCTGGGGGGGATCTGGAGCCACAACAGACTTATCCAGGTAATCAGTTGTCTCAAAATATCCCTTTTCTTTCCTAGAAACCAAATAGCCTCTCTGCTGAAAAAGGAACAGTTACGGATGCTGTGGGCAGGTGGGGAAGCAAGAAACACCTTTGCCCCGCCTTGGCACGCTCCCTTACAGTCAGCATCTGGGCTTGTGCATCCCCTGTGAAGCATCCAGCCCGCCGGCCCAGAGGTTTAGGTCATCTTAACCTTTTCTCCACCTGCTGGCATAGGAAAGGGGTAAAGGCTCACCACCAGAAAAGCACCCTGCGCCCCTGCAGCCGGGGCAGGTGAGCCTGGGTGAGCTGTGGGCAGCAGCAGCCCTGCCGAGCGGCGCGGGCAGGGGACGGCAGCGCAGGGACTGCATCCCTCCCAGGCTGAGGCTCACTGGAGGTGGTGCGGCGCCCCGAAACAGCAGCTCCCTTTCTCTCTTGTGTGGCTGTGTGCATTGTATTTCTTGGCACCATGCATCCATGACATCTTGATTTGCAGACAGTCAAATAAAATAGAAAAATAATGTCCCCTGTTAATAGGTTGACACACTGCTTCAGGCCAAGTGTGAGTATTTCTATAGCATTTGCTTTGCTGCCTTATGTCAGTAACTGTTGCTATTGAAAGTAAACACCCCAACTGGTTAAATCAACAGTGTTTTGTTTATTCAAAGCTCATAAACTCCAGTAGCTGTAGGTCACTTTATGAAGTGCCAACCCCTGGGGGAAGAGAAGGAATAGTGTGAAATTATTGCATGCAGTCCACCCATCACGAGCCGTAGAGGAAGGGGATTTATTGGCAATTAATATTTCTTGCAGAGGAAAAAAAAGTAATCCTATTGAGGCAGCTCCACTCTGAACCTTGAGCCTCCTTACTGATGGAAATGGGCAATGGGATGAAAACTTCTTGTAGGCCTGGGTAAAAAAAAAAAAAAAGATAGATCTTGGAAGATTAAAAGTGAGTTTTTTTAAAAAAGGGTTGACAGACCACATAGTGGGAGAAGAAGAGTGCAGGCAAAATGGGGCAGAGGAAGTCCAGTGCTCAGTAGGTACCTGTATTCCTCCAACTTTCCCTTTGGCACGCTATCTGCATTGAGAAACTCAACTGAAAGACTTCCAAACAGTATTATTCTGCAGCACATAGAAAGCGCACATGGGTTTTGTACACCCACAGGGGTGACCAAGTGTGCGTCAGGGCGAAAGCAGTTTTGGAGATGCCCGTAGCCTGCTGGTGCTGTAGCCATGCCTGACCACAGCTCTGCATCAGCCTGGCTGCCGCTGGCCGTGGGGCTGTGGCAGCACGGGGCGGCGTCGGGGTACCCGCCGAGCACCTCTGCCCATCGCAGGCTCCCAGGCAGCGCTGCTGAGGCCGGCCCAGCTCGGCTGAGGATGGCAGAACGGTTTTTGGCATTTCCTAAGAGCTGAGATGCACGTTGCCGGTGACCCGGCTGTCCTCCCCGGCTCCCTGGTAGGTCGCAGTGTACACAAACACTGCGCTCTATGGAAGTTGGACGAAAGCTTGGTCTTCAGCAGCGATTTCCAACTTGCCGAGCTCCAAATATAATTAAGATGAGTCAGACGGTTATTTCCAGGCTAAAATTTGTCCTTCCTCGTCCTGAAAAAGCCTTGAGAACCACTGATCTGTTGGATGTCAGGTACAAAGCTCTCTACTAACAAACTGAAGTCTGTAGAAGACGTGGATTAATCTGGAATTTTGACTATTTGGGATACTTTGGAAGTGAAATTTGTGGATTGAACAGGAATAAACAGTGTCCAGGGCAAAGCTTAAATACATTTTCTCTTGACTATTGTAGATGTGTTTTTGATGATTGCTATTTAGTCTTAAGCCTTTAAGGTTATAAATCTGTCTTTGTGATAAATCCAATTATGAACTCATCAAAAATTTGAGTATTTAGGGGAAGGGATTAATCATACAGCCATGTGAAAGAAATTAGCAGCTTCTGTGAAAATAATCTGAATATATATTCTTAATTGGCAGTATCTTAGCCCAGCTGTTGTTATATATTTGAAGGAAACAATGAGTCATAAGGTTGCTTTAAACAGACATTAAAAAATGCCTCTCAAATGGCACAAGAAAGTCATACATATTGAATTATCTATATTTTTAACAAGAGCAAAACTCCATGTCATGACTGGCAGAAAGGGTTCAGCTGAGCTTGTCCTTGCTAGAAAAACTGCTACCCTCTTCTCCAGGCACCTGTCTGAAAGCTTTAATGCTTGTGTTTTCCCACCAAATACTCTAGCATTTTCTTGATGCGGTGCAAGAATCTGTACAGTGCTCGCTGTAGCCAAAAGCTGTTGGAGTTTTTGGCTTTCTGAAGGTTGGACAGCAGTAAAAGGGTGCCGGGACCAGGTCACAGAAAGCAGACTTTGCCTGTGTGTGAGTGGAGGGCCAGCGCTGAACATATAGGATAGTATTTCCTTATTTTTGGCTCAGCAGCCAACGGTGTTCAGTGAAGGGAAGACACAAGTGCTCAGGGTCTCTTGGGAGCAGGCTCTTTGTCAGAGAAAGTTAAAATCCAGCCAAGGCAGCTGTTAAATAGATGAGCGGCATCCTCTAGAGGCCTTTCCAGTTGGGGTGGATGAATCTGGAGGAGTTTGAGTGCAGGTCATGAACTCACAGTTCACCAGACCCAAACTGCTGCCCACCTGGTCTGGTCACAGGGAAGCTCGTGATATTTTCCAGCTGTCTGCGTTGTAGGGAACAATTCTCGCATCTTCGCTTTCTTCGGCTTCTGCCGCTTGTTAGCAAACAGTTGGAATGGGCTTGCAGGGATGGTGACCAGGATTCTCCGAAGCTTTTCTGACCATGCAGATGGCCATTTTAATGGGATGAGAGGAAAGTAGGTGGAGAGATGGTGCTATCCTGGTTTTCTGGCTGGGGAAAGAGAATAACTCGCCAAAGTCATGCTTCAAGTTCATGGCTAAGAACAGTAAAGACCTTAGAAATCCTTGATCACGTACATGCCTATCTGGATTCCACCCAACCTTTTCTTTCCTTGCCTTTTATAATCAAACTCAGTTTGCAGCACAGGGCCCTGCTCCTCAGATGTTCAGGCCTCTGCAAAACATGCTCGCAAAAAGCCCAGGCTGCAGCAGAGTCCCGATGTGACCCCTCCTGCTCACCGACGTGAGCATGGCTTGGCGATTGCCCCTCTTGTTGTGTGCACAAGGCTCAGTGCCTGCACATGGAGACGGTGCTTCTGTTGGCAAACAGACTGTTCCATGCCCAGCGTAGTCCCTGTTCTGTAGGAGGCAGTGGGCTTTTGTAGAAGAGGTTTATTTTTATTTTTTTTCTGAAGGAATTCAGTGTTATTCAGTGGAATCCTCTCTGCAGGTGGAATTTTTGGGCGCCAGGGCTGTAGTGTGCCTGCACTTGAAAATTTGGCCATTTATTTGGAAACAGGCATGGGCAAGTTCCAGCTCATTCATCCAAGCTGTCCTTTCTCAAGGACAAGGAGTAAGGCCAGCACAGCTGAAACGCTGCAGCCAGCTCCTGAATGTTTCCAAATAAAATGCCTTGAGTAAGTTTATTTTTCCCTCTCAAACCTAAATTTAGTACCCTGGAGAAGCTGCTTTGGCAGTCAATGGATGGTAACGATGACAAGATCAATCTGTGGATAGTTCTGGGAAGATCTGGAAAGTCCTGGTAAAACAGAGTTGGTTTCATTCATGTCTGCAATTTGTCCACAGCCCAAAGATCTGCTCATGAACTTCCAATGGTTGAAAGACAAGATATTGATAGCTGCCTTGTTTATGGAGGACAACAGATGATCCTGACTGGACAGAATTTCACAGCAGAGTCCAAGGTGGTGTTCACAGAGAAAACATCAGGTAAGACAGTTTTTTTCTAACTTTCCCTCATGGGATAAGGCAAATCTGTAATGCTGCTGTGTCTCATGGTCTCATCCTAAGATTTGTTGTCATGAGTAACTCTACTCGAGTGAGTAATCCCATTCAAGTTCATGTAAGTAAAACCAAATCACTTGACTTAACCATGTGAGTAAAATTAGACTTGAAAGCAAATATTTGTGTTATTGGTTTACAAGAATACAGACAGTGGGAAGCAGCAGGAACAGGATATGTTATCAAAGAAATGGGATGACCATTACATGTTCCTCTATGCTTATTCAATCTCATGTTTAGCGAATGCTACTGTAGAAATCATAACTGAAATGAACATTTTTTATGGATGTGAACTATAGGCAAAGGTTGTGTTTTCTTCCCTTTAGGAGTCTGTGGGGGAAAATGTTCATAATGTGTGGTTTTATAACAAAGTAAAATTATTTTTTAAAATTCTGAGATATAAGAATATATTACTTCCTCTTCCATATTTTTTCAGATATTTTTATACAGGCTTAGACTATAGTAAAACAAATTAAATTAAATTCAAAAAGAAAAGTCCCCTGTTACAGCCCAATGCTATTTTTTTTCCAGTAGAGCTGCTTCTTTTAAAAGTTGTTTTGCCAGTTTTCAGGTAATCTTGCTAGCTCTTGAGCAATCATGAAGGGGGAGTGAGTGGCAGATAGTAGATTCTCTCTCTTTTTCTTTTCATCTTGTCTACTTATTTGCTCGACTTGCACAGAGCTGGTACAAGATGGTCCTAAGCACTGGCTGGTGTTGGATGAATATAAATAAATAGTAGGAATAAAGAATAACCCTAACAAAATAACCGGGAGTTATTTCGTTGCCTAGCATCACCCTTACTGCCTTTCCTGAGCCCTCTCTATGGTGTTTTCATAATGGCATGCTATAATAAACGTATCTTGCTTTCTAACTCAAAGAATACTCGACCCCAGAAAATATGCTTAGCATGATCTAATGGTTAAGGTGGGCAGCAGAAATCCAGGTTTTCTTGTTCACAGGAGGAAATGCAAACAAATGCATTCTGCTGTAGTTAGTTACTGTTTTTTCAGAGGTGAATTGTTTCTTTTCTAATATACGCATGCAGGCATTTCATCTAACCTCACTAAACAGTATGTGTATTTTACTGGATTTTCTAAGGCTTTTGCAAAGGGACATTTGTTTCTTTGTAAATGGTCTGGACTTGTTTGACGTACCCTTCATGAGGTTTGATTTTTGTATTCTAAATACTGTGCTCTGCAAGGATAACAACAGTGTCCAGGGATCAAAAAAGCACTTTGCAAATATGAAGGTCCAGACTCTGCTGTCCTGTACTCCTGTTGATTTCAGCGAGACAAAGGACTCTGCAGTATGAAAAGCATCAACCTGTTTTATGTAAAATTTGTGTTCTCTTTGTGCTGTTAAGAAAATATGTTCCTAAGTTTTCTGTCAGTAAACTATGGTAGAGGCATCTTATGCGATATATCCAGTGACTTGCAAGAGATTGAAGAAATTGCATCGCTTAAGTGAACAGCATGTGCATGATTTATGGGGTAATGTTTTTGGTTAAAAGTAAGAATTGATTAAAAAATTAACATATGTGGGCATCAGCTGGTGACGTTGGGGAGGACAAGGATGCTGTGGGTCCCAGCTTCTTCCCACAACACCAGCAAGCCATGCTATTTTACAGCAAGAATGAAAGGCTCTGGGCTCTGAACTGTGGAGGTTCAGATGAGCCTGTGCAGTCAGAGCAATTTTCTTGGCACCCTGTATTTCCTTTTAAGCCCGGGTATTAATTCCTTCCCACTGTGCTGCCACTGTTCCGTCGATGTCAGCGAATCGTGAAGGTGCATGGGAACATGCTTGGCAGCCCGTGACGGTACCTGTCCCAAGAATGTTTTGCAGTAACTAAAGGAGATGATACACTAAAAGGAGGTAGCTCTTAATGCCATTTCGAGGAAACATCCAAAACGCCCTGCCCCTATTTCCATATAAGAGCAGGGAAGGCTCTGGCTGGAATAGATGTTAGAAAGTAAAAAGAACAACAGCATTTTCCACACTAAATCTAAACCTTTTCTTCACTGCTAGGGAAACTACTTTTTTTTTTTCTTCTTTTTTTTTTACCTCCTGGTAGCAGAGAGGCATGACTTATCCCAGCGGCAGTGCCCAGTCTGGGGCAGGGATTTGCATGCTGGTGTTCCATATCCTGCCTCCCCCATCCTGCCTCCCCCACCGCCCCTCGGCCCCTGCAGGCAGTCTCAATCTGCAGGACTTTGAATAAATGATTGGCAGAGGGGGAATTTAGAGGATGGGAGGCCCAGAGTCAAACCTTTGGTTTGAATCAGAAGTCTGTGTAGTTTGCAGTAGGTTATCAGAGGGACTCTGCTGCATGCTGAATGTGAGCTAGTTCTCTGTGTATCCATGCTCTGGTTTATAATGCAGCAATACCTCTTACAGATATGCCCTGAAGTGCTTTTAAATGAAGATTGCTTTCTTTAATAGGTGTATCTTAAGGTGAGGAAGGTTAAGAAGCTGAGCTGGATATGCAAATCATGAAGGGGCTGGTCAGACTCTGGCTGACTGCAGTAGATTGAGAATTAAGCCTTTGTGCTTGGGTTGTCAGAGGTTAACGAGTGTCCCAGCTTACCTGAAAATTGGGATCTTGCGAACCTGTGACTTTCAGCTTCCCTCAGTATACACTGTAGACAATTTTAATTATCACTAACATGGCCATGCTTCCTTGTTGTTGCATTAGGCTACATGAACACAGAACAAAAAGGCCCAGTTCTGCAACCTGATTTATCAATTAGAAATGTCACTGGGTGGGAGGAGGAGGTGGATCCTGCGCTCACCTCGGGGAGCTCGCTCGCTGCAGATCCGATCTGCACAGCACCTTGCAAAAAGCGCTTATAAGCTGCTCAGAAGCAAAGCTAGCCACAGTAAACATTCCGGTGGGTGGATAGTGCATCGCTGGCGTGACCCTGTCATTGTTGCGCCTTCTTCCAGAGCACACCGCGGCCCCGGGGAGCTTGTGAAAGAGTCTCACCTTTGTGAAGGCAGGAAGGTGCACAAACCTCGCAGGGGGAACATGGTTTTCTTCGAGTTTCACTTTAACAGCTCACAAGCCTTGTCTGTGCTAACAAGTGGTGTTTGATTTCCCGCTTTGCCACCAATTTTAATTCTACTAGTACTGACAAGGGTGAGAGCAGCAGTGTAGATAACCTTCTAATAGCTTTCGACATGTCCTACTCCATAGAGCTCCTTGACTTGTCTTTTTTGTCCAGTGTTTGAGAGTAGCAAGACTTTTTTTTCCCCCAAAAACCTTTGCGCAAGTATCTTTCTGCAGTGAGACGTTCTCCTGCTGATTGTTTCACAGACTCCAAAGTCTGGGTGTACCTTGAATGTGGGGTCTGAGTCAGTGCCTGCGATGAACCGTGTGCTGAGGAGGCGGCAGTCGGCTGCATCACAAACCTCAGGAAACTGCTGATGGGGCTCACAATTGTAAATTAGGTTTTATCCCTCAGGCGGACACTCAAAACCTATTTCAAGTTTCTATGGATCTTGTAGGAGACTTCTTCGCTCAGTACTAGCAACGCAGAGAAATGTAGAACTTCTCATATTTGTAACCGAAATACAACATGCTTCTAAGAATGAGAATGAATAGTTTTTACTTCTGTTACACAGCACTACAGATATATATATTTTTCCCTAGAAATACCTGGAAAATAAAGAATAATCCCCAAATTATGCTGGGATGTCATTATGAAAACAATTGCCGTCTTGTATTAGGTGAACTACAAACTATTGCAATGAGCTCGCCAATAAGAAGTCTGTGAAAGTCTCTCATTTTAGGCTTGTGACAGGAAATGGCAGCAGGAAGTGAACTGAAGGGGCTGGAGCTCAGTGCTCCGTGTGCGAGCACGGGGATAAAGTACTTGTGTTTGAAATGCTGATGCATAAATAGCGTTCATTTTCTTAATGATAAGGTTTGCCAACATGCAAGCGTTATAGTTTTGAGGTCTTTTTAAGGTTATCTCTTCCTGATGAGAGATTGTAATCTGTAGCTGCTGTAAGCCAGGGGAACTCGTGAATTCGGTAGAGTCAGTCCAGCACACAAAAGCAGAGTTTGGCTGAAGGTGTTTTGAGATCTGAATTCAGAGACACATAACGGAGCCCAGCTAAATAAAAATAGGTCAGGGGAAGCAACTAGATTGGATTGTACCGATAGAAATTTTTGAAGTGCATGTATTCTTTTAATTTTGATCTGGAAGAGAGAGCTTGAAAAGCAGTCTTACAGCTATCAAGGATTTGGAATATGCTAAAGGTCAAGGGTGTTAATCTTTGGTTGGGGCCCAGATCTTACAATGCAGTTAAAAAAAGAAAAGGGTTGGAATTCCCCCTTTTATTTGTTTTAATTGTCATGTAATAATTTGCAAGTCAGATGTTGTTGGTTGCATTGTGTTTACTCCCATTTGTGTACTGGTTACTGCTGCTCGGCTGTGAGTGATAGAGGAGTTTCATGTTTCTCTGGGAGAACAGTGCAAATGGACTGTGCTTTCCCCTGCCAAACTCTTATGGTGGCCACATGGACATCATGAATCATCGCTAGGACAATGTGGGTGGTGGAGGAACAACCCAAACAGAAAGCGTACATCTTTGGAGTAGATCCACCATAAATCTTTCAATTCGGCCATGCAGTGTAAAGAGAAGAGGTGGTGCTCTCTGTGCCCTTTGAACTGATGCAGCTGTCAAGGCCTCTGAAGCGTGGATGCTCAAAGTCCATTAAACTTTCCAGCTCTAGATCCAAGCAATGCAGTTCCAGTTTCTTTTTCCCTTGAGTTCCTGCACGTCTGTCACCTCGTTGATATTTTCACGACAGTGGTTTCTTAGGAGGCTAATGGCTAGAGCAGGTGAGCTTGAACATGCGTGTCTGCTGGTTTCAGGAGAGCTCACCACAGGGCAGGATCAGGGCCATTGTGTTCAGTGTGTCG